TGATTTAATTTAACTGTTTAATTGATTTAATCTAATTTAATAAAATGGTTTGATTAATTTAATTTAAGTGGTAATTATTTTAATTTAATTGTATTTTTAAATAGGGTTTTGTTTTAAAAGTCAGTTGTTGCTGACGTAGGTTTTATTAGGTTTCTTTGGGTCGGTGAGGATTTTTAGGAGGGTTGGAATTAATCTAGGGTTTAGTAAAACCCTATAAATATATGTGAGATGTCTGTATAGGGTTTTTAGAAAAACAAACAAAACCCTATTCACGTCTCTAGAGATAGAGAAGCAACAGAGTAGTTTTGCAGTGGGAATCGTCGGAAAGCTTTAAAGACGGCGTAGAGATTTTGAACTAAGATCTCAAAGGCAAGTTCTAACCTTACTCTCTCCCTTATACTCGTGTTCTTTGCATATTAAATTGGTTCCAGGTTTATTATATGATTTTAAAACAAAAATAGATAGGCTATTTGTTACTAGGACGCAAACTGTTAGTCTTAGGTTTAGTTTGATAAACTGTTAAAGCTTGGAACTGATCTTGCATTGTGCTTGGTTAAATCCATATTAGTAAGTATAATCAAGGCTTAAACCAACATTAGAATTTACGGGGAATTACTTAGAAATTTCTGGTAATCAAAACGGTGATCTGTAGAAGGGTTTAAACGTAGCCGGAGAAGAGAACACAGAGCAAAGGAGGGGGAGAGCCGGCTCCTTTAGGGTTTGGAGCCGGCTCTACATGCTTGGAGGCGGCTCCAAGACACTTGGGAGCCAGCTCCAAGGCCATGGAGGCGGCTCCAAGGTTTTCCAGAGCCTGCTCTATTTGGTTATCTCCAGTTTTCCACGTTCCGTGAGGTTTTGTTCCAGTTTTCAGTGAGATGGCTTTATGGAGATTGATTTTCTAAGTTATCTAAATGGAATGGTTACTGTAATGGATGGTTTAACAAGGGTCTGGAGTGGGATTAAGTTCCAAGGTATTAAAGGTTGCACCATGATTTTTACTAGTTTTCCTACACTCCATTTTGCTTGGTCCTGAATGTATTTTCATGTTATAATTTCTTCATTATGTTAAATTTTTATTTTAGTTCAATGAAATTGATAAGTAATGATTTTTTAATTAATTCTATATCATGTTGGAAATCAATGGAATTAATTTTTAGTGACAAGGTTGATGTGTTAAAACAGTTGGAGTTTGGGATTGCATAAACTGCTAGTATTAAATTCTTGTGCAAAGTTTATGTTTTAATTAATTTTGGTAACTGAGCAATGAATTTAGTGGACTCTGGAATTAGTTGGAATCTAATTTAAACATCTAAGACTCTTAGGATTGAAACACAGTTTAACAGAAACTCATCGGAGTTGGAAACAGAAGAACAGAGAAGAAACGGCTTAAGTTTTCAAAGAGACGGCTCATAGAAGCAAAAAGAGCAGGCTCTTTGCAACCAAAGAGCAGGCTCCAAGCAAAGAAAGAGCAGGCTCTTTCCCGAACTTCTAGTGTGACGTATTCTGTGACTTGTTTGGCTACGGAACTCGGATTTTGGATTTTTCAGAAGCTGTAGGAAGCTATACTTGGGTGTTTTGAGATGTTCTAAGTCTAATTAACACTTGTGAGAGTGGATTAAAGTTTAATAAACCAGTAAGTGTTTATAGCTTAGACATTAGTAAGCATCGACGAAAGTTGTTCATTGTAGTGCAGAGGAATTATACTTCTACTGAATTTAATTTATATTCTCTGTGGATGGAAAATGGATTAATATGATGCTATTAATAGTGACAAGCATGGTAATTAATATAGTTAAGGTTATTGTACTTGTCATGGATTCGTGGACGAGAAGGATGAATTATCTGCATACTCAGTAATATGATAATTTATAATGGAGATATGGGATGAATATGATAACTTATATATTTATTTTATGTTCATCATGGTATTAATTGATATGTCTTATGGTTTTGGTTTGTCAGTTACCGGAGTAGGCATGCTAGTCTATATCTCTATTTATGCTTATTACGGTTCAGTTGCTATGTGCATTGTTTATGTATGGTATCAACTGTTGGATGGATTGGATTGTATGTACCGGTATGGGACGGTGACATACTAGGTTTGGACAGCACAAGTTGCTAAGTTCTACCTATTTGGAATGAGGGTACGGGTTATTAAATAAATCCTCCTTATATGTATGTAAGTCGGTGCGGTTGACTACGCCGAACGACTTAATGGATTTCTTGTGGATGGATGGAATTGGAGTTTAAATATATTTTATGGTACCGTGACATGAGCTTGAGTCTCAGAGTCAACAGTTAGGATGCGTATATGCAGTTGGATGTGTAGCTGACTGTGGGGATTGAGGTATACCCTGTTTAGGCTTAGGTACTCATACCCACTCAGGTGCGATTTGTGTGATGCCTTCTATTCAGGTTGAGACCCTCTTCATGGTCTAGCGAGAGTCCAGTAGTGTGGATATATATTTATGTACGGACTATTAGCTATTGTTGAACTGTTTAGCATGTACATGCGTATCGGGTCTCTGATTGGATTGCAGTAGGATAGAACTTGTTCGTGGGCCTGACCCACTCCTATTTTACAGGTGTACGATAGTTCTAGGCTTGAGCTTGTTCGTGTGGAGCAGAGACGGTCACTCATTTTTCCGACGATGTAGGATCTCTTTCCAGATGTTCGACTTGGATTTTATCTTTCAGTTTTACTTTGATTCAGTTTGGGATTTTTATATTAGGGGTCCACTAGAGATGGATTCCCGAGTTGTTAAAAGATTGGAGATTTTGGATTGTAGGATTTTAAGTTATTAATATTTTAAGGTTTTTATTGAGGATTTCTTTTATAGTATCTTTCCGCTTATTCTTTTATTTCTTAAATCATTTTTTTTGTAATCTGTGTTCATTTAAAATACTTTAATTGTTTGGTACTCCTTGGTTCTGTGCTCGGACTTGATCTCCCGTGGCTCTAGAATCGAGGGGTATCACAGTCATGTACCACATGTATAACATGCTTTCAAATACTTTCACATTTCATTTACATAGCTAGATCATATAATTATTCTACATATATGGCCATATAATACAAATTTTAGCGTTTAAACACGTAAGCATGCTGCTCAAATAACAAATACTTTGACACATAAGCACATAAACAATGCAATCCACCTTCCACACAACCCTAAGTAGGCCTCTAACCATTACTCTAATACCAAATTTGTAACAACCCGAACCCGAGGGTCTGAATCGCTAACCGGGTCCTTATCCGAACTCGAGGTCAACTAAGGGCACTACTGTCTTTTCCTATGTCGATACACAATATGATTAATAATAATAATAATGATAATGATGGGATTATAGCCAGAAAATATGTCAAAAACAGTCCACTAACCCATCAAAGCCTGTGGAGGAGCGTCGTCCGCCACTTCCCTTCCGTATCCTGAAAAATGTTAATAATAGGGTGAGCTTAAGCTTAGTAAGAAGTGTCTAAGACACACCTCTTATGACCCCGTGAATCTACGTATAGAATAGAAGACAAGAGAATGGGATCATACTATACTGGGGATGTAAACCATAACCACAACATCCAATATAAACACAAATGTCATCCAAGTCACAAATTCATCATGTATGCCGATGAAGTGCAATGCCATGCTCATATCACTCCCTATTTCCGAAACATTTCCCTTTCAACTTCCAAATCGTTAGTGTAATCCGACCAAAGGCACCTCCAAGGCGTCACGAGGGAGGGGTTGGCTAGTTTTTCCCAACCACATGGCACCTCCATGGCGTCGTCTGGATAGCTCAACCACACTAGAGTCTCTCTCTAACCCCCTCTAGATCACACTAACACCACGGACCACTAGGCACCTCCTAAGTGTCCGGTTTTCACAAACACTTTTGAAAACGTTTCCCCAAAACAATTTCATTGGTTTTAAAAAAATACTTTTTCCTTTTTTTTTTCTTTCCCAATGGATGCATGAATGTTTCATGCTTCACAATTTACTATAATTTTCACATCATTAAACCTTAACAATATTTTATAATAAAGAAGAATTTTCTCATAAATTTATAGCATGCTTTAAGTCAACAAAATTTCTACAATTACACATATTACACAAGGACATAATCACAAAAGCATGCTTTCCATATCCAATCAACAAATCATGCGCACATATATTATTTACACATAACACACATAGAGATACACATCATATATCTAGCATCATGGCAATTTTTCAAGAAAAATTTACAATAAATCCCATACACTCCATCTACATCACGATCACATTATTAAGGGAAAATCCTAACATTTATTTTCATAATTTCAATATCACTTTTCTTAACAATTAAAAATCATGGGGCATCTAAAATATCAATACTAAACATGTATCTTCCCCACCAAATATATAATCATAATCATAAGTTCAATTAACACATATAATACATCGATCACCTTAATTACATACAATCATAACAACATTGGCAAAACTGCTAAAATCAAACATACGTAAAATCAAATTAAAGGAGGAAAATTCACAAAAGATCAAAGAAAATATGAATTAAAGCACCCCTACCTCACTTAGATGCAAAAACCCCCCAAATGGATCCAAAAATTCGAAATTCCTAGGGTTGGCCAAATGAGGAATTGTTTGTATCAACACGTAGATCTTGCCGTGCTCTCCATTTTGCCGCAAACGGCAACCAAAAATTCCAAGTGATGAGAGACTAATTGAAAATGGAAGCTTTGATGAAAAAAAAAAAAAAAAAAACCCCAAGAATGAGAGAGAAACCTGCGGGAAAGAGAGAAATGAGAGACCAAATTGTGGTCTCATGGCCACCAAATAAGCTAGTGGTGGGTCCCACCACTTCCAATAATCTTTTCCTTTAATGTAAATACATATATATGTATATACATATATATTTATATAAATCACAAACATTTACATATAAAAACTTATTCCAATCAATGATTTACCTTACTGCAATCCACAAATTCAAGTACAGGAGTATATAGATGAAAGAAAGACCATCCCAAGTGCATTGTTATGAAACTTCTTTTTCTACTTCAATAAAATACAGTACACAATGGAATATTCATAGCCCACCTATCATCTCTTGTTATGGAAAATGCAGGCCCAACAATTGGGAATGACAGTGAAATCACAACCATGCCATTTTAGAGAGACTTAGTGATCAAATCAGCTCAAGCTTATGAGAGCTCAAAGGATGTGACAAAAACAAAGTGGTTGCTCAACCTCTTAGTATAGGTGTTGCCATGCTCTAGCTCAAAGATCTTGAGCCATTTTGATCATCATTCTTCTAAAAATAAAGCACAATTCCTCAACTCAAATAGTGTCGGAATCAAGTTGGTAGTTTCAGGTTGAGAATATGTTATAAACCACCAACAAAGTTCGGTTATGATTCATCTGTCATTCTAAGATATCATGTTGCCTGAATTGTACAATATACTTAGAAATCCCGGAATCTGCAAGACTGATCCAAACCACCACCAACACCATTGGGAGAACTTGTGAGAGCATTTTATCACTTGGTTAATTCTTGGGAAATAAGGTAACGGAATTTGAAGTTGTGAGGGATGAACTCAATTTTTTTCCGGAATTTTGCATGATGACTCTTCCTCAGAGAATTGGATACAGAGTGCTCAATCAACTCCATTAAACCGGCAGGGCACAAATCCGATTCCTTTGCAAAAGAGTCCACAATCTTTGGTAGAAGGATCTTCTGTTCCTTGTGTACCCTGAAGGTGGTATATATGTACTCTTCTTTTGCAGCTTCAAGCTCCTGAAACACCCTCTTGGGTGTATACATTCGAACCTGAACAATCACATATAGTACACACAACAATGAAAAAGAGTTGAGAAAAGAAAATATATATATATATATATATATATATATGAACTATATAATAACACATCAACATTCTCAAACTTTTTCATGTTAGTCAAATATCTGATACAAGTATACAGCACAACATAAGGAAATCCAAATTTTATTTCCCTTTTTTGTTATAAAAAAATTCATATCTATTTTCTAAAAATCAAATATAACACTGTTGTAAACCAGACAAACCTATAAAGTTCTTCATTTTGGAGTGACTCCAAAAAAATGATGCTTTGCACCTAGAAGTAGTTTTGCAGCATAAGAAATTAGGGCATAGGAGTACGTACCGCAGGATCAGAATGGCTTCCTGAACAAAGTGCAAAATGTAAAAGTGGTTCTGGCTGATTGATTGCATATGTTTTCCTTGCATCTCCAACCTTGAATTTTGTCCTCGGAAAAAGCAAGGACTGGAACCACTACAAGCACAAATAATTTTCATCTGAACATGTAGGGAAGAAAATTCTTCAACTAACCACATAAATTGCAATGTGAATAGAATCATATTCAGGAAATGAATTATACTTGTCCTGGACGAGGCAGCCGGCATCCCAAAATAGAGTTTTGTAACATGCCTATGCTTATGATGAGACCGCCCACGTTATATGCAGCCTGGATCATCATGCACAAAACTTGTTAAGTGACACGATGTTAAAGACCAGTTTTCAACTTAATTCAGAAGAATGAAAGAGACTCCCACCTTGAGGAGTAAAGAAATTCTCCTCAGATTGTTCTGTGGAATCCCATAAACCAAAAAGGCCTGTGACAATGAACAACAATGTGGTAACATTTGTTCAGCCTCGTAGCAAAATTCAAACAGTAATTCTAGTAACAAATATCATGAGATTTATATGCAGTGGATCGGCTATAGATTATTACATGCATCACCAGTGCATTGTGTATGTTAATCCAAAAGGCTAGCTTCTCCTCATGTTTCATCCATTTAGGATCAACTTCTTCCAACCGAGACACGAGTGACCTGCAATACAACAGTTTTTTTTTCGTATTTTTTAAGTTTATTGATACCATTAAACCAGCAAGAAAGTTGTAATGAGATTGGGGTTTGTGTGCACAAAACATGCCACCACATTCTGATGCCTAAATTTGAGCTCCCAAGAAGCCTAAAAAAATGAGAACTCACCTGAATCTTTGTAGCATATGTTCTGTTTCTCTCGACTTTGGACGATCTCTAGATATCCGTTGCACCTCTGCCATTGTGAAGTAAGGACCACTAAATTCCTTTGATCCTTCGACATTGAAAGGATTGTCCAACCATGAACGAAAAGATGAATTTCCACGGCACTCTGGGCTCCACATGTCGTAGTGAACTTGTGGAGAAGATTCACTCATTGGTGATGGGAATGAAATAGGGGATGAAGGGAAGCCCTGATTGATCAAAGGAGGGTCAGCAAGTTGACAATATATGGCTGATATGCTCTTAATCATCTCCTCAGAAAGCCAGTTCGGTGTCTCTGGAACATGATCCGAGCTATAGGAGCCAAGATGCTCTGCCAGACTCAGTACATTTGATCTACCACCCTGCGCACGCTGAGAAAATAGCATTCGAATCCCAAATTAACCATCTGAGCCTTCATCTCAACTAATGTGGCATATGAATGTTAAATGATGGTCATTTTGTAGCAAAGAGTCGATGAGGAGATGGGACTTAAAAGCATTTGATGTCAAAAAATAGATTATAAAAATACTACTACTTATGAATGTATGGAAGAGTGATATAATCAAATAGAGAGCATGAAGTCAACAAAACAAGGCCAATTGTCTCCCATGCTTGGCAGGTCTTCCCTTGTGGTTGAACCTTAAAAAATACTAATTTTTCAGCAATTTTCAGGTTGAATTACCTCGAGCATCGACAGAGGTAAGGAATGGAATGAATCTACTGCTTCGGCAAGAATTCGCCAAGGAGGAACAGTTGTGATTGCACAAGGCGAACGTTGTGATAGTGATGAGTGGCTGCGGTGTATAGTACTAGAATCTAATAGTGCCTTTTCTCCCCAAATGTCATTACATTCCTTTGCTGGTGGATATTCAATCGAAAGTAAATTTTTGTTCTTCCCAGAATCTGAGGAAGACCCTTTATGCATGATCGATTTCAAGCTTTTTTTATCCGTTGTGTTTGTAGGTAAGGATGAGAATCGTTGATCAAACATTTTCCGGTACAATGAAAGAAGGTACTTCTCCAAATGCACAACTTCCAACTCTAAGACAGCAATTTCCCTGATCAGATCCTGGGCTTTCTGAATTTAAGTGCAAGGAAAGGCAAGTTTTTTAGTTACTAGAAAACTAACATAATAAGCTAACAACCATATCCAAGTAAGAACTACAAGACTACAAACTAAATTCAATTTCAGTCATTTATCTGTTTCAATGTTTCATAGTGAAATCTTTCACGGATCTTCTTGGTGACAAGAATCTACCTTGGTTACTGAGTTTTCATTTGTAGGATTATGGGGCAGAGGACTACAACACAATGCCTTTTCTAGTGCACATCTTACGTCGAATTGGTTGTCTAGTTGCTTCTGGAGTTGTAGAACCTGCAAAACATAAAACAGTAATCAACAACATATAACACAGATAATCCTTTTCGAATTCTTGGAATGGATAGCACTTTTCTTTTTTCTTTTTTTTTCTTTTTTTTAAGTTGTTTAATTTAGACTGCTAAAATGAACCACCAAATTCATTCACATGGTCTGAAAATTATTACCAAGATCAATTATTCAAGACTTTTACCTCTTCCTTCAATGAATTTTGAACCTCAGTAATAGGGAACTGCCTCTTCTCAACTTCAACACAACTCTTCAATTGTTCCATATCCTGTTATGAGACAAAAAAATATATAAAAATCAGCATTTGCATTATATGGAACAAAATTAGAAGAAGAAGAAGCACACCTTTAGTGTGGGTAAAAAAAAAATAATAAAATACAACTGAAAAATAAAAAGTAAAAATAAAAAGCAGAAAGAAAATGAAATTCTTACCAAGTTAAGAGAATGAGAAGATTTGAAGATGTTATTCGAATTTAACTTGCTCGGTTTTTTCTCTTGGCTGCAGGGTCACTATCAATTATCAACACAAATAACAAGATGGGTTTCAGTGGAATGTGGCTCTAGACATTATGGAATAGTTGTGCACATATATATATATATATACACACACACACACACATACAAGTCATTACCATCAAAGAAAAGATATGGACTCTTGTTTAAAATAAGTAAAAAAAATTGCACTAGTTCCTCTGTACCGCAAAGCCATCAATACATGTTGTAATGAAAATTCTTTCCTTTTTATGATTTTTCAGAACTCTCACAATACTAGATTGGCCACTATGCAGTGGAATCAAATAGCTAGGTATTTAATTAAATTGAAACATGATGAAAAATTTTGCAAGCTACAAAAGCATACACTAAACTAAGAACATAAATAAAAATTCACATAAATTATAAACACAATCTGTATCCATAAAACCAACATTCTTAACACACCAAAAGCAATTATCAATTAAACCACTATACACCCTTTTTACCTAGAAGCCATTGCAGTATACTTTTCCAAGCTGGGACTAACTAACTATTAATTAGGCCATAATATTATACAGGAAATTAATAGAATATATAAAAGGGGATAAATAAAAAATAAAAAAATAAAAAACTTTTTTTGGGTAAGTAAAAATATACAAACTTGAAATGGAGAAAGAATGAGAAAGAAGAAAAGGAAAAGAAAATCTACTATGTATATTCAAGGCTTGTGTGTTGAAGCACTTTTTACTTCCATGAGTTTGAATGGCTTTTATATATCTATATCTATATATATATATATGTATGTATGTCTGCACTCCCTTGACCCACTTATGAAAATTGAGTACTGAAGAGCAGAAGCATTAAATGTATGTAGCTAGTATTTCCAACAGAATTGATAAGTCCCTTAACAGAAACAAAATCAGAATATAAGAAACATCCAAGAAAACATTTATGGCATGTAACAGAACTACTCACACTGTTAATAAGAAACAGAGAACCCACTGAGACAGAGAGAGACTACTCACCCACCACACACGGATTCTTCAAAAGCTGATCCAAAAGCGACTGATTTGGTTCATCAACAAATGGGTTTCTCAGGTACTACTCCTAACTCAAACCCAAAAAACAACCATATCTTGTAGCATCAACATTAGCCAAACCACTGCAGCATCAGCATGTATATATATATATATATATATACTTGCACACTTAGTATAGATATATATATATATGTGTGTGTGTGTGTGTGTGTGTTTAGAGTTCTTAAAGGGGTATATATGGGCTATATATCTATTTTTTTTCTTGACTAGTCGCTTGTCTTAGAAAGCAATACCACCTTTGTGTCTTTTGCAATGGTGGGCTATATATTTCTGCATTAAAAGAAGTAATTTTATTTGTGACTTTTGAATATTGAAGAAAGTCATATTGCAGGCTTGGGCATTATAAATGCTCGCACGCAAGTACAATATTATCTTCCCATGCTCTTTACCCAATCACAAAGGCACTAATATTAAAGGACATGAAAAGGCAAGGGGTGACCGATGATGTATATGTAGCAGTTCATGGGGCCAAATCTTGTCTCCGGTCACAAGTCTAGCAGTGCCAACATTAACCCTTGTTAATTAGTTGGCTTTCTTACCTTCACCATTAGTATAATATTTTGAACTTTATACTTATGCGACTGTCAAAATAAGTCTGACCAGTCGGACTTCCTCGGAACTCCCGTTGTGGCCTAGTCCAACCAGTCCGAAATAAGTGCGACCAGTCGGATGCTGCTGCTCTTCATTCCAAAACCAAGTATAATTGACCTAACTTGAGTGTGACCGGTTCGACCCATCAAAGTGCTTAAGACAAGAACAAGTGCAATCGGTCCAACTTAAGTGCGACCGGTTGGATGCTGCTGCTCTTCATTCCAGAACCAAGTGTAATCGATCCAACTTGAGAGTGACCGGTTCGACTCAGCAAAGTGCTTAAGACAAGAACAAGTGCAATAAGTCCAAGTGTGACCGGTCGGATGCTGCTGCTTTTCATTCCAAAACCAAGTGTAATCGGTCTGACTTGAGTGTGAATGGTTCAACACAGCAAAGTGCTTAAGAAAAGAACAAGTGCAATCGGTCCTACTTAAGTGCCATCTGCCCGAATTTTCCAACATTGTAATCTCATAGTGATAAAGGTTTTACAACCTCAACAATCTCCCACTTGGAGGCTGGACACTAAGTACATTCCATCGACTATTAGTGCATGTCAATGCGTTCATCTCTGTCTTTAAGGTATAAGACCGACTGAAGCTACCCACAACTTCAGTTTCTCCATAATCACTGTTTTGTCAACATGTTGGCCGAATTCTCAGTGCCAAGTATCTTCTCAAGTGTAACACTCGATCTTCCAACAATGATCTGATGAAGTGATAACAAAGTCCTATATATTTTGTTGTTGAATAAAATGTTGAATTCTTCGCTAGATTTATCGTGCTCTGGCTGTTATTGTGCAAAACATTCTTCACGTGTCTAAATCTCAACTCTGCGAACAAACTCTATAACCAAATAATCTCCTTGTTGGCCTTTATCACTACTATGTACTCTTCTTCTATAGAAGACAATGCTACAATCCTCTTTAACCGTGAAACCCAACCAAGTGCAGTAGTACTCACTGTGAAAACAAACCCGGCAGTACTCATTCTCTAAGCTACCGCCCCAGCAAAGTTTGGATTTACATACCCATGTAGTTTCAAGTCACGCATCTAAAACACAAGTCTAGATATACGGTATCTATGGTATATCGTAGATATCTCAATATCCACTTCATTGCTTCTTAGTGTAGCTTGCTAGGATCTTTCATGAACCCGTTCACTACTCCCACTACATATGCAATGTCTGTTGAGTGTGCGCAGCAGAATGGTTGTGGAATATAGTATGAATAGATAACCTAGAGGATGGTGAATATATTTAACTTGCTCTTTTATCCAATTTTTACTTATTTTAATTTTACCAAAATAAAACTAAAATCAAATCACAAAGCAAAAATAAAGTGCAAGTAAAGTAAATAGAGTTTGAGAGATGACACTAGGATTTTATCGAGGAAATCTCAATTGCTAGAATAGACCAATTGTAACGGGAAAAACCTCGTTGAACTTCGCAATCCTAAGATAAATGATCCACTATGATTGAAGAAAAGTATACCGAATTTTGACTCAGTCTCACACCCTATCGTTCTACCAAAAATCAATTGCTGACAAACCCTGGCTTTGCGACTCCCCCGTCCAACAGCTCTCGACCTCAGGCTTACTCTCGATCTCTGTAGAAGAGTTGCAGGTAGATCAGACAACACTCCACGAATGCTTTAACCCCTTCAAAGTGTGATCGCTTCACCCCTTTTCTTCTAGATCTGAATTTGATGAAGAATGAATGAATTCTGCTTTTCCGGAATTTCTGAATCTTCGATTATGCTTCAATTTCAATGAGATAGAGAACAATACTACTAAATCACTCTTGCATTTATGTGTGTGCTCTCAAAAATAAAATCACAAAAATCAGATTGATTTTCTGAATGAATAAAAAATATCTCTCAAAGATGGCTTTCAATTAGATCTAAATTGTGTATGCAAGAGCCATGAATAAACCTATGTGTATGACAAGGTTTATATAGAGTTTAGAATGTCCTAGTCCCTTTAAAAATATAGAAAATTTCTTGCATAGGACTTGGAAGGAAGTTTGGTCCCAAAAGGAATCAAAACGGATAAGGAACCTGAAATTCTAATGCTTTTAGGACTCCTGGTATCGGTTCCCAACTGTGGTACCGGTTCAAAAAGGGCAGTGAAGAATTCTTCTTCAACCCATAGTTGGCTACCGGTTCAAGAATCCTCCTACTGGTTCCCAAGAGGCAGAAGTGAAATATATGTTTCCTTCAACCTTCTAAACTCCCTAAAGTGTTCTCACTCATTCACATACCTTCCTAAAGCATTGTTTTCATCATCCCGGAGTGTAGTAAACCATGAACAGTTGAACTTCTTCAAATCCGCATTTGATCTTCAACTTTGAAATTCTGAACCGAAATATTACAACTCGATCGGACTTGTTTTTACAACTCGATCGGACTTGTTTTGACAACAAAATTCACCAATATACAATATATATATTTTTCACAAGCTCCCCAAAATATATATTTCACAATGTCTGGTCTCGTGCACACCATTGTGTATGTCAAACTTCCAATGGATGAGGCATAAATCAAACATGAAGTTTCTCTCATGCTATATCTTCGAACACCAATACTTGGATAAATGAAAGTGGCTAGCAAATGGTGTACTCATTGCCTTAGCATTACTCATATTGAACCTCTTCATGACCCGTTTAATGTAATCAGCCTAAGGCAAGTACAAAGTACTTGTCTACTTATTCCTGCTAATCCTTTTCCCAAGAATCTGCTTTGCTACACCAAAATCTTTCATTTCAACTGCTTTTTTAACTTGTTGGTTTCTTCAAAATCAAAATCATTCATTAATATAAAGTAAAAGGATGACATAAATCATCTCAAACCTCTTTAAATAGCAGCAATGGTTAGCATTGCAATTATAGTAGCCATGTCACTGCATGAACCTCTCAAACTTTTTTTACCATTGCCTTGGGGCTTGATTTAAATCGTATAAATTTTTCTTCAACTTGCACATTAGTTTCTCCTTCCCTTTAACTAAGAAACCCTCCAATTGTTGCATGTATATCTCCTCCTCTAGGTCACCATGGAGGAATTTAGTTTTCACATCAAACCGCTCAAGGTGCAACTCCTCTTCTTCAATCAGGATAAGAATTGAACGAATGGTATTAAGTTTCACAACCAGAGAACATATGTTTGTGTAGTCAATCCCTTCTTCCTGCTGAAAGCCTTTGACTACCAATCTTACCTTGTATCTCTTAGAACCATCATATTCCTCTTTGACCTTATACACACATTTGTTATAAAGAGCTTTATTTTCCATCGGCAACTTAGCTAGTTCTCATGTATTGATGGAGATAAGAGACTTCATCTCATCTCTCATTGCATGATTCCACTTGCTAGCATCTTGTGAGATATTATATTGGAAATTTTTAAGAGTCAAAACTTGATGATGGAGTTATATTTTTTATTCATCTTGTGTTTTGATCATTGAAGCTAATTTACAAGTGCCTCATACCGTATGATTGGATGGAACATCATGTAGAACAAGTATGTGACTGAGGACACTTTATATTTAAGGTTGGATAGGATTTCAAATTTTGATTTAAATGTTGCAATCCGAAAAAGTCTAACCGGGTCGTGTTTCTTTTTGGACTGGTTGCTCTTAGCTAGTAAGTGATATTAAGCAAATATTGCAATATGTTAGAGTTAACTAGTCACACCTCTCTTGGACCAGTCATACTTGTGACGACCTTGGATTTTTCAACCCAGTGTGTCCTGTGATGACCCGAACTGGATCTAGAATGCGGAAGCAAAAGATGAAAAAATGGTCTCTGGAGATACAACACGTCTCTAAGACACCAATGTGACCCTCAACGAGGTCATGGAACCCAAAAGAAATAAATGAGGAAGCGGCATTTCAAAAACGGACAAGAATGAACCTAGGGGAAAAATGGTCATTTCCAACATGAAAATTGGTGCTACCAAGTACACCATTGGAAAGACAATAAAAAATAATCAAGTTCAAAAAAAATTTCACTTGATTTGGAGTCCGGATGAAGAAAATATGGCTAACGAAAGAAGAAGGGGCAAAAAGGTCAAAAGGAGCCAACCCTAGAACATCTAACCGGTTACCACACCTTCCTAACCAGTTAGAAGGCCAAAAATCATGACCACAACACTGCCCAAGCATATCTAACCATTTAGATGACCCCTTCTAACTGCTTAGATAGCAAAAACAGTAGGTTCAGCAAAGAAAACTGGCAGCAAGGGGTTTTTCGTCAAAAATTGGATTTTTGAGGGCTAAGATGACATTTTTTGAAAAAACACAAAGAAGAAACCCCCTCAAAATTAAGTTTTCTACATGAAAACTTAGAAGGAATTGAAAAATACTTAATGTAAGATACCTAAAATGCCCCTCCATGAAATCGGGTCATGAGGGTCCAAAAAGCTGCTAAATGCAAAACTGAAAGCTGAACTTCATGAACGATTTCCGGTACCAAGACGACATTTTCTAGAAAAACATGAGGAAACCCCCCCCTCCCCCCCCAAAAAAATCATGTTTTCTATTCAACCATGTTAAAATAAGAAAATAAAATGACAGTGACAAGTTAAGAATGCCCCTAGATCAGATTATGCAATAAAGATGCGAAATTAGTCCGTAAGAAGCTCATTTCACCAAAGGAGAAGTTTTTCTTGAAAACGATCATGCACGCAAACGTAACTTACCTATTTGGATGCACTACAATGATCAACGGCTTAAAAATGTAGCCGATGCAAAATCCGACCCCCCAACGACCAAAATGACAAAAATGGAACTTGGAATGAAAACTCGGAATTCAAAACTATGAAATGGTTTCAAAATACCATTTGGCCCTTGGCCATACTTCATACATGAGTAATGAGACCATATGAAAGAATCAAAATAGAATTCCCACACCCAATGCAAATATGGTGAAATAAAAACTCAATATTTTTCAATATTTTCATAATATTTCATGAAGTCAAAAATCACATAGGATACAAATTACATGTCATTGGCCTCCGGCCTCATCTCATACATGTCAAATACATTGTAAAGAGTGTACTCATGTACACATTACATATATGGAATCAAATATACACATTTTGACATATAAGGCTACAAGTGGCATTTCAAGCCAACCTTTACAAGAACTAAAAACCTTCAAGTCTACAATCATCCAAACAATGATGAACATCACGAACCAAGTCTTCGTACCAGAAACAGCCCCCCAGTAACTTCGGGGTGAGAAAACAAGTTTACTCGTAGAAAATGAGCATGCATGACTCGATTTCTTTAGAGATTTTTACATTGACATGAAACAATTCAAAAGGGTCATGCCACCTAACGTCTATGTCAAAGGTTAGACTCAGGGAGCATCCTAAGCTACCTTAGAACATTTCTAGCATATATTACATCCTTCATGCAATTACAAACGACATAAGAGCATGCTATACAAGCAATAAGATAAAGGTTCCCAAAGTTATCAACTTGAAATCTAAGGTACGAGAATAACTAAATATAACCATTTAGCATAATTAGAACTTCTAATACAATGCATCAAGACATAGATTCTCAAGGTTATCAACTTGAAATCTAAAATGCAAACAACTAAATATAACAATTTAGCATAGATGTACTTAACAACATCAAAATTTACCATGATTCATTGAAATCATAAAGCTCGGATGTACTTAACAACATCAAAATCGTCAATAACCAAAACCACAAGTCACAATTAAACATGATTGTCAACTTGGAATTAAATGCGAAATCAAATAGTGGAAGACTTGGACATCACGTCTCGGACTAAACCAAGAACAAAATGGTTAGTCCGGGCATTAACCCGCTGGGAAGACCACCCTAGTGCGCACTATCTCAATTGGAGAGAACTCATACCTCCCGCACTAGAGCCAAACTCTAGCCATGTCACTTATAACAACAATGTCCCAAGACTTCAAAATAAACCAAATAAGTTCACAACTTATACATAATTTATATAATGCACGAAAACACCTTCCATGCACAAGTAGATTGAAACCACACATTCCATGCCTTAAAGTTTCAATTCTAAAATGGCATACGTAATGTCAATTACAAAGTGTGCAATTCATTACACAAGGCAACAATATATTCCATAAAGAAAACATGTTCTCATGAATATAAATATAACAACAATGTTATCAAATGCTCAAAACACAACCAAGTGAATACACAACAAGTCCAAGTCCATGATTTGAATATAGAAACAACTTCTAAAACACAAATAAATCCATGGAGCTACTAGATAGAATTTAATTAAATAAAATAATTAAATTCTCTAAATTTCAAATCAAATTCAAATAACCTCTAATTAATATATATTAAACAACATAGCATACTCATTACATATATCAAATCGAAAGCGCAAAATGAGCAAGATAGCATCAAATGGAATTTAATTAATTTAAATCAATTAAATCTCTAGATTTCAAAAGTTGTTCAAATGATCTCAAATTATTATATGTCAAGCACTAAGACATGGTCATACCATATATCAAGTCAAAAATGGAAAACAAGCAAAACACAATTAACTAGAATTTAAATCAAATTAAATTCATTTAATCTCTAGATTTGAAAACTCATTTAAATCATCCCAATTTAATATATAACAAAGATCATGTCATGGCCATGCCATGTACCAAGACTAAAATGAGTTATATGCAAGCTACAACAAACCATTAATTTCTCGATTTAACAAAAGACATGCATACAACTTATATATCACTACAAAAGCAAGGAATACCCTTAGGTAATAAATTATAACACCCCCTACCTCACAAGAGGATTGTTCCTCTTGAATCCAAGGCAAATCAACAAAAAAAATGGCAAACCCTTTAAGGGTTATGAAGAGGAGGATGAGGGGAACAAAAAGAATTCCCAAAGTTAAGCTTGGAAACCAATGGAAGGCTCTCAAAAATCAAAGTCAAAGCTTAAGGCTTTAAGCTTCAGCCATGGAGGCTAGGGTTTTTGGTGAGGAAGATAATGACATAATGTGAAAAAAGTGTGAGTGGAGGAAATAGAAATCCTCCACTAACTATGTGATCCTACACCATGGTCAACACACACATCTATGGTCAATTGCACAAAAACCCTCCTTTAAAACCATAATCCCAAAGTAGCCCAAAAATAATTGCAAGACTTAATTGTGAACCTACACTTGTCACAAATCCAAGGTTCCTTCCTAGGCTTAATCTCAAACCTACACTTGTCAATCATCTAAGCCAACAAGTGCACCAATCCTAGGCCAACAAGTGGATGAATCTCCACCCTCCAAATGTCAAGAGATCATGCTTCCAAGTCACTCCACCCCAATGCCAACAAGTGGCACCATGAGAATGTGACACTTGTCACATTTTTTAAAAATTACAAAAAAGTCCTTTTCCAAAATATCTTCCAAATTAAATTACAAAATGGTCCCCAAGATGAAAAATAATTACTTTATTTTATTACACTAAAACTCCATAAGTTAAGAATAATTACAATAAAGTATGCATCCATACCCTTTACAAGAAAAGTAAACACTTAGCATGCTTTTCTAAGAAAGTAAAAATACACATTGCATGGAATTTAAATATCGTGAATGCATTCAAAACCAAAATCAAATCCAAACACAAAAAGTGAGGTTGTGCAAGGAAAAATGATAAATGAGAAAAAGACGAAAAGTAAATAGTGTCCAGAAAAATTTTAAAAAAAAAAAAATGTGAAAATAACACAATCCTCAAAGGAAGTTGTCAATCCAAGAAAAAGAGTCTCGAAAATCATTCCAGAGCACTCATGACGATATCAAGCGACGAAAAACCAAACACAAAAAAATAAAATAAAAAAATAAAAATCTGAGAAAAGGAAAGGAAGGAAAATGACCGGGTCATTACAACACTTGTCAAAATCCCTATTCTTTATAGACTGGGAAAGTCCGATCGGTTGCACTCTCCTTAATAGTTATGACATTTTAAGTTTTGGTAACTTTTAAGTTTTATTTTTTGAATATTTTGGGGGCTCTCTAAAGTATAAATACCTTTCAAAAGTCAATCCTAGATAGAGTTGATTGCTTTAATTGGAGAAACTTAGATTTATCTTGTATATCATTATTGAAGCTACTTTAGATATATTTACAAAAAAAAATTGATTTTAAGTCTTTAAGAGCACACACTTAAACACTGAGTGATTTAGGGTGATGTTCTTCATCTGCAAAAAGGAATCTTTAGAGAGTACTTCATATTACAAAGACTAATCAAAGTAATAGAGTCTGTACTTTATCT